CGAAAAGTGCCCCTTTTGCCAATGACATGTCAGCAACCTAGTTGTAGTTGAGGTCAATGCGAATGTCTAACAATCCGCCCGCTTCAGAGAATGACTATCAACGACTATCAAGTGACATCAGTATGATAGCTTGGTATTCCCCCTGGGCATTGCGGCTCCCGTGTGGAATTGGTCAGTAGCACCACCGGAGGCAAAGTCAGGGCATGAGGCACCCAGCGCTACAGATAGTGCAGACCCGCTCGGCAGAGCGCATTGGAACTGTAGGCACCTTTGGAAGGTCAACGTCTCCACTTCGGAACCCACGGACGTGTGGGAAAAACAAAGCCTTGCACACGCCTGAGAGGGTTTCTTTTCGGGCATTTGGCGATGGCAGGAGTCTGGACGGACACAAGACTTCACCTCGGTGCCAGGCCGGCAGCTCTCCACGGGCAATGATGGACACCTGTCACGACTTCTGGTCGGCGCAGAATTGGGCAGTTGAAAAGCCCGGGAGACGAAGAGTTGAACCCAGTCTGAAGTGTGGCTTGGTGGAGGCCATCGGGGCTGGAAGTGGAAGCCAGAGATCGGGGTAGGAGTCCGAGAGCGATCGCAACGGCCGGGTGCGGATCTGCGAGGGGCATCTGACGCACAAAAAAGCGCTGGTTGGAAGAGGCGTTTCTGCGAACTTCTTTCCCAGGTCCGCGCAAAAAAAAACGACCCAAGTGATATATTATGGACAAAGCCGGAATCTGGAAGAGAGAGTATCGAGGGAATGATGATGTGATACATGGTTGCTTGGGACCCCCATGAAGGAGCCCACTCTCTTGCCCCTCCGCAAGATAATCCTCCATCTAATGGGTCTGGCCACAAATAAAACAAATGCAGAATCTGCCATATGATATTGAAATCGCTACGCGATCCGCCGACGCCAGTGGACAGTCCCCCATTAACAAACTGCAGGGTGCCTCAAGTTTGGGGTCAGGAAAAAGACGTCTTTTTGCCTAGGTCATTTTTCATGTCCCAGATGCTGAGGATGCTGGAAATGCAAGGGACCCAATCTTCACGCTCAAGATTTTAAGACTTTCACACACGCGACATTGACCAAACACAGAAAATACGAGAGTTGTGGGGAATGCTGCGAATGCAGCCAGCTAGCCACAAAAAAGTGTAAAAAACCAGGGCTTTTAAATATTTCCCAAAAGCAGCCATCAAAAACCGATACTAGCAACCCCCCTCAAATACCCTAAGAATAGACTTCCAAAAGCACGATAATGCAGGGGATGTTTCGCAGTAACTGCTCCGTACAGGTGGGGAATTGCAAAAAAAACTCATTTTTGCAGATTTCAACAGTTCCTCAAGTGTCACTGCACTTGGCTTCACCCAAACCCCTAACAGGCCAATTCCAACATCGGCAAAACGCCACTAGTATCTGCAAAAGAAAGAGACAAATTCATGGCAACAAGATAATCCTGATGATGCTGGGGATGCAGATCCTGTGCGTCCGGGGGAAACCCCCCCCCCCCAGAGACCTAGGCGAAACGCAGATTTCTAGCACGAAAGACCCAAAAACACTGGAAAAATACAGGGTTTTGGACACGTAGCACAGCATGCCCAAAAAATAGCAGTCCCAAAAGCCTTCGGCTTTGATAAGAGATTCCGAAGGAAGACCAAGTTGCGGACTGCCATCTACACGCTCGACTGGCGTCGGCGGATTTTGATTGACAAATTGCAATTTTCCCTGTGCAAGACAATCTTGTTGCAGAAGCCAAGATAGATTCAGGCCATGAAAACTATGTTCAACACTCTCATGTAGAAAGCAGCTGAAAAGCGTCTGGGGCTGAGCGCCTCTGCAACCTCCCCCCCCACCTCGGGGCTTGGCTTTCTGGAGTTTAGCTCGGGGGCCGAGCTCTATGTACCAGCCGGTCGAAACCCATACCCCTTCAAATGTCTGGTTTGAAGGCAGGGGCGCCTGAACTCAACATGTGGTGAGTCACTGCCCTTTAGGGCGGTTTGCAGTTTGATTGCTTGGGGTAAACCACTCTTCCAACAGACCACCTTAAACTTGACAAACTTTGGGTTGAAAATGGGCTTGCTTTCCTTTAAATCAACCACGCACCCGGGTGTCTTTCTCTCGGGTTCGACCCCGTGCCCGAGACGCTGAGATCTTGCACAGAAAATCCGGCCAGTAGGACTGCGACCTGCCGTCTGCGAGCCTTTTCAAAACTTGGGTTGTCGATCCCTTGCTAAAGGATCAACGTTTGTGGAATATGACATATATGGGTGTGTCTCTGTTTTGGAGGACCCCATTGTTGGTTGGTCTTAAAGGGAAACCACAAGAAACCCACTATACCGTTGTAGCCTGGAAAGCAGACCTACAAATCAAAGGACCCGGGGTTTACACCATGTTCTCCCAGAATACTGGTTTCTGAACCAAACACAGGGTTGTCAATATTGAAGTCGGTACTTAAGCCTTTCAAAAAAAAATGAAGTGGGACACAACTTACAAACCCCATAGTATTTTCTGTATGCTTTAGCACCACCAGGTGCTCATTCTCAGACCCTGGCTGTTTGCCGAAACCTCTCTCTTCGCAACCGACGGGTGTCGCCTCAAAACAGATGGGTTTACCATCACGTTGAGGTCGAAGCAGGTCACCCCCAGCCTCACGAAACGCCGTGTTTGGTTTGTTTTCCCCCGTGGAAACGTGAAACTACGTCCCCTGCAGATTGACATGGACCCAACAAAAATTCGGGGGTTCCTCAAGAGCAGATTCTTCCAACCATGGCGGTGTTTTGGGCTCTATGAATGTTAATCTGCCGAAGGGCAATCCAGTGGAAATATTAAGTTGCCCGGCTCCCTTGTGCCCCATCAACCCCAAATTGCTCGTGCCCCCAACAACCCTGTTTTTTGGGGGGCAGCCCGTCAGGACCCGAGCAAGATCCTCAATCCCCGTTGCAACCAGTGCCACATTCAGTAACACCCTCTTCCCTTACGCCTTTCGAGGAATCACCGAAAACCCTCCGCCGAAAGGAGCCTAGTACTTGTGCCACAGGCTTCTTGGAGCCCTTCACTTCGGCTAATCCAACGCGACTCCGCCAGCAACTCGAAGGATCCGGGTTAGGCTCCATTCGGACTTCCAACTTGGGCTCGTGGACTTCGCACAAGGTGCTGGATGGTTGACTCCTACCTATCCTTGAACCAACGGCAAAGATGTTCCTTGGAGCAATGTAGGAGGACATGTCTATGAAAGGAATCCTAAACTCCGAAACTACTCTTTGTAGGATATTCTTCACTGAGCAAGTGACAACCTGTTGAACCGCTGCCTGAAATGATCCAACTTGGAAATCTGTCCTTGCGAGCATGCGCTTGGGTGCCCTACGCAACCCTAAGCCCTATAACTCTGGTGCGTTTAACTTGAGCCCTGCTTGGTTCATGCCGGGATACGCTTATGAACTCAGCTATGACTACCGTGCAAAATTAGCGGCAGGCACAAGGTGATATCTTCGGGGCAGGTTTTCTACGTGGTGGTCTCGAGCCACTTGAGCGCCCAGCACACATCGATTCTCTGGTTCTAACAGTTCTAACATGCATGTACAAGTGGCTTTGGGCAAAGCCTACCAATGAAGCCAGGTAGGAACCGAACCTGCACCAGGGTGACAGCAAATGGCATTCCATTGCAGGAAATCAAAGACGACTTAAAAGCAAACGAGCATATAAGTGCGCCCATCTTTCACCCAACTGTACAAGAAAAATCCTGTGGGATCATTCAAACAGGGCCAACCTACTCTCGGTTGCTTTCTGCCTCCCGGCTAACAGTCTCACTTTTAGTGGTTTCAGGGAAAACCCATTGGTTGGCAAAAAGTGAAAGTCCTAACATCCAAGCAAAAGGGCCCGCCCGACCGGTTCTTTTTTGGGCCTTCCAGGTAGAACCGCCGGGAAAAAACAAACACACTGCTTTTTTGGGTTTCTCTCCACCTCTTCCCCCCCTTCCCCCCTTCCCCCCCTTCCCCCCTCCCCCCTCCCCCCCTTCCCCCTTCCCCCCCCTCCCCCCCTTCCCCCTTCCCCCCTTCCCCCCCTTCCCCCCTTCCCCCTCCCAGTGGAACAGCCGGAGAAGAACAAAAAAACCGCAGGTAACAAAACAAAACGCTCGCGGTTTTGTTTCTTCTTTCTTTCACGTCCGCGGGGCAGCGCGGGCTCCAGGCCGGTGCGGTCGTAGGCGGGCAGGCAGGCGGGCCAGAGCTCCGTGCGCGTGACGGAGTCCTCGATTTCTTTTTTTGGGCCGGGGGGACCTAAAAACACCGTGGATGAGGATTCATCTTCCAGGGGAAGAATTCATTATTCATTTTCCAGGGGAAGGATTTCATTTTCCAGGGGAGAAATATTCATATTCCAGGGTTTCGTTGGTGGATGAGTCCATTGTTTGTTGGTATCTGCAGGGGAAGGAATATCATATTCCAGGAATTCTTGAGTGGTTACAAGTTTTTCAGGGTCTCGGGGAAGAAATGGAATGACCTCGACGTAAACCACCCAACTGGTGGCTTCAACTTCAAGGCATTGGATCAGACTGAGACATGCTCACTTGCCCAAGGATCTGGAAAAAGGTTCACCTTTTGGGGTCACGAAACATGGACCAAATTAGGAAAACCAACAGGTCACAAAGTCAGATTGGGACAACTGAGAATGGAATGACCTCGATGCAAACCGTCCAACCGGTGGCTTCAACTTCAAGGGATTGGATCATTTCCGAGCCCCCAATTTTTGGCTGGCTCGGTCAGGGAATGAGACATGGATTGATCAAGCTATGGGTTTTCAGGGAACCTTCCGGTTCATCCCAACAGGGGAATAGGCGATGCGTTGGAATCGATTTGCTTTGAAGGGAATTTCCAGGTGCATTCCAACTCCCTGCTGAGCTCACCAAAGGTTCCTTGCGGACCCCTTTTGGGTTGGCAAACACTTGAGTGGATTGGCGGGAAGCCTAACTTGGTCAAAATTTGATTTCAAAAACCCGACTGACACTATCATGCTTGTGGCAAATAACCCTTGTGATACCTTCAAGTAGCTCATTCCCATGCTGGTGACATGTCCCTGGCCACTCGCAGAAAGTGAACCCAAAGTTCCACAACCGTGGGCATCCCCGATGTGTCCAAACCTTTGTGTATCGCGATGGCTCCCTTGGTTGCCTACTACTGGTACTGGGAGCACTGTCTCCACAATCAGACCGCTATTGAGTTGATGTCTCGGTGGATGTTTTGACGCCTCTCACAAACCGGAGGCACCCGCAGCAAAATAGCTGCTTCTCGTGTGGCGAATCTATGCACCTGGATTCGGGAATCCCGAAGAGCCAGAGTTCCCCGTGTTTGGAGAAATCAAAAAACACGTCGCCCTCACCGAAAGGAACCCAACATGTGATGCCTAAACCAACCTAAAGGAACCCTTTAAGCTTCATGGTGGCACCACAAAGAGCTGGCTTCATCTCATCAGGTCTCCTGGTACTTGGTGAAAGAGGGCGTGCAAATCTCCACTCCGGCGGCAAAGTACTGGTAATACCTGGCACAAGAGACATGGATGACATCCGCCGCATGAATCGCAGGAAATGGCCTCCTGTCTGACATAACAAGGGATTCTGGGATTTCCATCTGACTACTGTGTCATTGGGTTCCCTTTGGTAGCCCAAACCAAATGGCCCTTAAAACCAGCTTTCGCCTTGGCCCAAAAGGAGTCAAGCTCAAACATGTACCCGGCTAGTGTCTTTGAGGCCGAAGCCTTGCCGCGAGCGACCTGGTTCCTTCAGGCGTACCACCTGTCTGGCAGGTGTGAAAGAGACGGCGTTCCTTTCAAGGGGTGCCACATACGCCTGAAATGCCGATTTGCCAGAGGTCATCCTTTTGCTCCTGTGACTCAACATGATGAGAACACCGGAATAACCCCCTGGCTTGTCCTGTTTTGAGAGGGTGGTTCCTTTCCTCGGGATCAACAATGGCCCCCAACAGTGACGGCCCCCAAATTCTCCTGGGTGAAAGAAGTTCCCATGTAAGGAATTGTACCTACACCCAACATGTTCTGCAATTCTTTCGGGACGAAAAATCCGGAGAACGGCAAGAACCAAAGCTCCAGAGCCGCTTTGGGACAAGATGAAGCCTTCGGACCCCTAAAAGTGCAAGCTTTGGGACATGAGAGTGGTCCAATTCCCTGGTCAGGTGCTCACTTCCGATCGAGCCAAAAGCCCAAGACGTGCTTTTGTTGCTACTACTTGAACCCTCAAACTCGCCAACAAATTGGAAACCACCCCCAAATTCTTGGGGCAATAACCAATTGTTGTGGGTAGCTTGAGGGTTCAGGCGGAATGGTCTTCCCAACAAATAACCAATTCTTGTGGGTAGTTTGAGGGCTCAGGTGGGGGGATCTTCACAACAATTCCAAAGTTCTGGGAGTGAGTGCGAGGCAAACCCCGGCGAAAGACACCGCGACCGAGTCTCGCCTCGACATGATGTTCGCCAAGTCGCCGCCGTCGGGGATGGGGTAAAAGATACCTGCCCAGAGCTGGATGAAAAAACACGCTGTTGCCCACAAAAAAGATGAAACCCGGGCCTTTGACGAGAATGTTTGGCTCCCCCTTTCCGCCCCAAACTATTGAGTCGGACTTCCAGTGATTCTACCCGTTGCTCACATCATGGCTCCTTGCTCTCGTTTCGAAGGTCCTTGGAGATATGTGTGGACTGCCCCATGGGCTCCAACTAAATTAAATGGGTTCCTCAGTTGGTGCAAACGATCGGGACCTGTTTATTACAATCCGTTTAGAGTCCCTCTGGCTTGAGGAGCCCGAACATTGGCTAGGTCCTCCAGTAGAGAGCTTAGAATAGAGGCTGGAACGCCATGGGGGCTGTTGCTTAGAATAAGGGTACCCTTTTTCTGTAGTCTGTTTTTAGTAGGGCAACCCTCCCAACCAAAAAAGAAACGGTAAAAGGGCACCTAGCTGGGGGACCTAGATGCAACTACAACTATGCGTTGAAAGCCACAACCCCAGTCCAGTTCTTTAGTTTATAATACACAGCCCTCAATGACAAAAAAAACCGAGGCCTTGGTTCTTGCACTACTGGAAGACCTTGGGCACATGTTCCCCTCGGCCCTCGACGATCCGGCGACCGAAAACCGAGGCCCCGAGGCCTTGGTTCTCGCAGGCCAGCTGCTTGGTGACCGTGGCATCGGCTCCGGAGCCCAGCGCGTAGGTGAAGAGGGCCACGCTGTACTGCGTGGTCCGCTGCCTAGGGATGGCGGGAGGGGCTCCCAAACAAGATGTCGGTTAGCCCAGAAAAAAAAAGAGAGAAAGGGACCCTCCCAGGTTTTTTTGTTATTATTATTATTCCGATGGTGCTTTAATGTGCTTTATATGGAAAAACACAGCACTCCGAGGGTGCCCCTGCCAACGAAGACCACTGGTTCAGACTGACTTCACGGATTCAAATCAAACGGCTTCTGATCGCTTGCTTCACTTAGCATCCGATCGAAGGAACCCGATCGTGTTCGATCCCACTGAGCGGGTCACCCAGCTGGCCAGCTGGTTGCTTGTTTGGTGGTGTCGCCCACACTTCGGGAAAAATGGGGGGGAACTCTATGAATCAGGAAGGTTGGCTAATCCGGGTCAACATTCGATGGACACTTTTTGGGACCCTAGTCTCATGTTTGGCGGCCTTTATATCTGAAACGAGGTCCAAGTCCGTCAATTTCACAATTATTCATTGCCACGCCCGGCTTGGGATGCAGTGGGATGTCCCCCTCGAGCGTCCTCAAGTGTGGGGGGGTAAAGAGCCCCAAGACCTTGTGGAATGCTCCATGCTTTGAAGAACACCTTTTCAGGCTCCATTGGGATTTGCTCCATTGCGGCGCGGGAAACCAAACCCCCAACATTCCCGGCAACTGAAGCAAACATGCACCACTCAAAGAGTTAAACATTGTGCATCCGGTCCCGTTCAAAATACAAAGGAATGTATCGGGATGCCGAAACTATCTACTAAGACACCGCCAAAGGAAACAGGCAAACTTTAAACCAGCAGCGGGGAAGGTTGAATGGAAGCCACCGGGCCCTCCTCCAAATGTCCGGCCTGACGCTTGCGTAGTCCGCGCTCTCGAAACTGGCCGCGCCGTCGGTTAAGAACAGGATGGCCTCACGGATCGAGAGCGATGGATCCATCGGCGGGCAGGTTCGAGCGTGTGAAGCTGCCCGAAATGAGTCCAGTGACACGTTCAGATCGATTCCGGCCATCCGCGCTTTGCGCACATCAAATAATCCTTGCCTTCTCCCAAGGCCCGAATCGAATCAAGAAGGCTAAGCATACTCGCTTAAGACAAAACAAGAAGTTTAAGGGTATGGCCGGAAAGCGCCAGCATCAGGAATTCGTTGGCCAGGCCGTCCAACGTTATCACAGAACTGGCTACAATTCCCACCCGGCCAATGAAAATAAATGGCCATCCAAAAACGGGTGGCAACGCTGCCCCTTGGCGTGGTCATGTCTGTTTACTCTGGTGCCCATGTTCTACTTGGATATCTCTGAACGCTAAGCACCTGCAAAGTTGCCCTTCAAATTAAAGGCGGAACCCGGAATCATCGCGATATGGATTCTATGTCCGCAAAAAGTGGGCCTGGAGTCTGCCCCCAGCCAGCCTTCTGGCACATGGACGTGCTGCCGCTGCTTACGCTGGCGCTGATCACGTCGAAGGCGCGGTCCAAAGAAACTTTGAAGTCGGTGCCACCTTCGGCCCATGCCTCCCACGATGCGCGCGCACGCTGGCGCTGGCCTGAACCAGGCCTAGCCCCGAAACCTTGACTTTGGTCCCCGGCGCCGGTACCTCTTCAGGTTGTTGCAACGGGGAACTACACCGAAAATCACTGTTTTTTTGGGGGGGAGGTCCTAAAATGACACTCCCGTATTTACAGCTACTGCTTCAACGTTTTGAGTCCCAGCGGCCAGTTGCTGCTCCCCACAACTTCGTAGCTCTCAAGGAAAACGGGGCCCGTCCATCTCGCAGAAAAAACACACACACACAAATGAAACGCCAGAACGCAGCTAGACGCAAAAGGGGATCACCCAAAGGCGCTGGGCCTGGCGAATTCCAGGGCCGCGGAAAATGAAGACGCGAAGGCCAGAGCTTGCCACGAGGGTGGCTAGGCCCAAGCGGAGAGGGTTGTAGCAAGCGCAGTACATGAATACTTAGAACAGTTCCGCGGCAGAACGGCCTTGCGAACTTTGCAAAATACAATCCACGGGTTGGGTTTGACCCACTGCTTCCAGTTTCCAATGAAGTAGGCAACCAAGGCCGTCAGCGCGGCCCAATAAGACGCAGACCGCAAAGAGAAGCCCTGGAACTGCTCAAGCCTATGGGGAAACCCTGTTTTCGTACCCCAAGCCTTGCTGGCAGACTGGTTGAGATGACAGGGCGCCCAAAAGAATCCCGCCATGCCCTGTCCCTGCCAACCTGTTGGTCCAGCCAGTTCTTCAAGTTGGCGCGCTCGGCGTCAAACATGGCCACCAGCTGCTGGGAGTACTGAGCCTCGCTGGCAGGCGCCTGTTAAGACCTTCAAGAGGAACCCAGCTTTAAAGGGATCAGCCGGCAAGGCTAGGCCAGTTTTGTGGAAGAAAATACGTGGGTTCTTCAAGGAGTCAGCCTCGGGATACTACAGCAATGTTGTCTTTGTCCAGAGTGACTGATTTAAAATTGGACACCACTCCCCTGGACCTGACCAGCAAGCACGAGGACCGAGAAACCATTTTCCCCTTTAACCAGGCTACACTTACAAATAGGGGTGGGCCAGCTTTTTTGCAGACGCTGTGCAAGCAGATAATTTGGCACTTTGTGATAGTGTATGTGAACGAACCGCGTTGATCCATCTTGCCGATCTTGAGCAATGTAAAGATGACGTTGATCACCTCATCCCGTGGATACTGACCATGGCCCTGTCAGCGGGAAGGCCCGACGGTCTCACAACGTGACGGTTCCAAGAGAACCCCCCAAGCTGGCAAACCTACTTAAAACATGTCGAGTTGTTGGAACTTTCATACGCAGATCTCATGTTGCCGATTGGTCCAACTTCTGCTTTCCTTCAATTTGCACACCGCGTGCCATGCTGCTAACAAGGCGCGTGTGTTGTTTTTGCTCTACAGCCCAATGCTGAACTATCACCAGAATTGCGCGCTGCTTGGTTGCCTCCTCCTTCCTTCCAGCAGCCACGCCTTACACAGGCACACAAAGAAAGGTATTTGACCAAATTTAAGCACATTTAACATGCATGCATGTTCTGGGGAGAGATGAACAAGGCACTCTCTCCCAGGCACAATGCTGCCCACAATCAGCCAGGGCAGGACCACCCTCCTTATTGTTTTCAAGGTGGGCTTAGACGAGTCTAGCAAGATGTCGCAGGCGAAAGGGGACGTGCTTCTTGCCGAAGATCACGAAGGTCGCCATGGCATGGACATCACTCTGAAGGCTGGCCATATCATTCCCAGAAAGCCTTTGCGCGACACCTAAATTTTCATCTCTCAGCAAATCCTCAGGCCAGTCTTTGCAGCACGTTGCATAGATTCGTCACCCGACATCTGCGAAGGCCTGTTTCTTGGTTTCCTCCAAAACGATGCTGCCATGCTCGTGTAGCACTGGCACGCATTTGAAATCGAGGTCCCCTCGAAGAAGTCCAAATCGCTGGTGGAGCGGCATGCTCCATCGCCTCCATGACAGCGGGAAATCTCCAAGCGATGATCTTACCCAGAGGCGTCTTCCCCTTACCTGCCTCGCCCGGTCACAGAGAGTGGTCCCAAGCATGAGGCACAACGAGCTCCTCGGGGTCGGCGATGTCAGGTCGTAGCGATGGTCAGGTCTTAACGAGTCCAATGCCTTCTGCACCAACTGGGCAGCCAGATTGATGTGATGATATACCCATTGCAATTGCTTTCGGTCGCTCTTGTCCATCTCACCGTGGTTTCGGATGAACTCCCACCCCTCATCATCTGGCACCGAAGATGTGGCGGGAGGCTTGCGCTCCTCTGGCGACAAATCAAACATCAAACTCGAGGTGTTGGTGTTGTTTCATTGCGGCAAATGATGGTGGAATGCTTGCGGTGTCAGCAAAAACGCAGGCCCCACCCCCGCCTTCTCTAAAACTATGGTCCAAGGGACGAGCAGTTCTTTCGCTTGCACCCAAAATGAGCATACCCCAGAAGCCACGCATGGGAAAACTTGCTCGGGACTATACCCATACCAGGCATGGCAGCGAAGGTATGTGCCCAATCAGCGACTCACTTGGTCTTGGACCCCTGCCAGCGAAAAATGGAACACTGTCTGCTGGCTGGTGGAGTAGAAGTCAAAGGTTCAACATCCAACCAAAAAGGCCCCAACATGATTTTAGTCAATCGAGAGATTCACCATCCGGCTGCAAGGGAAACTTGGGCACCATGCAACACGCTTGCAAGCAACAGTTGACCAACAAACGCCTCCATGTTGAATTTTCTGTGTTTGCGCCGTTTGCGGGGGCCCTAGGTTTCCAACCCCAACGCTTGGATTTGCATTGCCCCGGCCGACTCCGGGCCCAAGCACCGCAATCCCGTGGTTGAAGAGGATGACGGTGCCGAAGTCCTGCTGTCCGCTCAAAGGAATGGGCCCATTTTTCCCAAGATGGGCCCGGTGTCCTTTGGGTGTCGCAGACCCAAGTTCTGACCCCACGAAGAAGACAAACCAAAAGCATGGGGGAGGGGTTTCTCAAAACAGGAAGCAGCTCTAAAATGGGGAGTGACCAACCAATATGGCCACGGTTTTCTGGTGGCGTTCCTTTCAATACAACCTGGGAAACACTGGTATTCACCTCGCATTAAAAATCCTGTCGGACTAGTACAGCGACATTTCCCCTTACCGTCGCTAAGATGGGAGGTTGACTCATCCTGAGCTCCCATGTTGCTTTATCTCTGTTTGGGATCTGTAGCAATATCACAGTATTGACACATGGGTGTGGGTCAAAAAACAGGTACCCAAAATCGAAAACCCTAGTAAATGGCAACTTTCATCACAATCTCCCGTCTGGTTAGTTTTGACCCATACCCACATACATATACAGCATGTGCCTGTGGCACCGCGTTCCCTGCATCGGAATCCTTGTCAAACATCTCCTGTTGCTTCAGATCAACAGCCAAAGTGGGCCTTTGGGCTGAGGAACTAAGGGGAGCAAACCTAGGTGTCCAATTTTAGGCCAAATAGATGGCGTTTCCCTGGTAGGTAGAGGATTAACCCACCAGGTAAACCAGGAATCGCCATCTATTTTTCCACCAAAACAAGCAAGAAGGACACCTATGGGACCAAACCTTAGGGGAACAGCTCAATTCGGGGGGGTGCCTGTTTTTCAAGAAACCTGCCGGACAGTTGGAGACCAAGTCTCCGGGCCGATTACCTAAGCCTAGTCAAATTCTTGAACAAGAACCAGATAATTTTGGGGGGTGCCGAACGGCGCCTGCTTTAAGAAACCTCCCGGATTGTACCTCCCGTTCTTCCTTCGGTCCTTCCATTCCAAGGTGTCGATCACCGCCTGGCGTTCTATACCGATCCCAGCCCCTCGGGTGATGTTTGGGCAAGTGGGTCTGTCTTTTCCCGGAGGGTATTCGGGACCCGGGAAACCAGGAAAACCACACTCTCGTTTGATTTTTTTTTGGGGGGGGGCAAGAGCAGCCACACCAAGTGGTTCTTTTGTCACGTGGTTGTTTTGCAAAGGCTTTGCCAGTGGTTGTGGTAAAGTGTCCTTTATCCCGATCCTTTCTTCAAGCAAAGACAGGTTTGTCAAATGTTAATATTGTCAAAGGCTTTGCACCAGGGTGATTTGGACGATCAAAGGTACTTTTGGCCAAGGACATGTGTGGCAAGGGCTGTCTGCTTTTTGCTTTGGCACTGCTTAGCTTCGGCGATTGAATTGGCGAGGGCGTCAGGAACCGCACAGACTTAAGGCACACCCTCGCCATGACTGCACTCCATCCCTCACATCTCTTCCACGGTTCCATGGCACCTGGGCATTGGGAAAATCAACTTCTTGAGACCCAACTCTCCATCCAACTTCTCCAGGTTCCAACTCTCCATCCAACTTCTCCAGGTTCTAGTTAGGCAGTTTGTTGACTTCCCCCCCTAAAGGTGTGGCCACGTTTGCTTTCCAGGAGCCAGGAGTCTGAGGAATTAGCTGGGGACTCCGGGACTGGTTCCCCTGAGAGACCTTCTGATTTGGCTGTTCGGGGGATTTGAGTGGAACGCCAGGGACATCGGGGGCCGGACAAGTTGAGAGCAAATACCCGACAGCCTCCATTCACACGTTCATTGTTGCTCGAAATCACCGCAGGACAAGGTGACCCGTGTACTCCTGTACCGTGGGCGTTGACTTTACCGACTCGGATCCCATGCTTGGAAGCTACGGCGGACTGGCCGATGCTCGTGACAACCTGTTCTAAAATGAATGTACGATTCAACAAAAAAACACTCGAGTTGTCAGCAATCATGCGCGCGCCGGACCCCATTCCATGTACCATATGTTTGGGTTTTCGCTCGTTTGCACTTGTTTGCGCCGATTTGCGTTTGTGTTGCACTCATTTTGCACCCATTTCGTTGATGACTCTTCCCAAACTCGCTCTGTGAAAGAACATGAAACTACCGAACTTGATTTCAGCTCGAAGCCAACCAAATGCTCGAAAGCAATTAGTGGAGGAAAACACCTACACCGTGTCCATTTGTGTATCGAACCAGGGGGGAGGGATTAACTGTTGCTTAATGAAGTCGACAAAAAAGGTGCGACAACAGTGGAACAAAGGTAAGCGACACACGGCTAAACAGCTCTGATGGCTCTGGAAGTCGGACACATTATCCATCCCCTGTTGTTTTTGTTGTGGGTGGGGTGCCAAAAAAGACGTTGACCCACGCAACCCATGTCTACAATTGGAGTGATCTTTGTCGATTCTCAAACGACCCCTTCTGTAATACAACAAAAAAAGCCCCCAAAGACTCACTTCCCCCCCAAATCCCCCCCCAAAAAAAGAATGGCAAGAAGAGATTCCCTTGTAAATTGGATCATAGCAAAAAGGGATTCCGTTTTGTACACAGCAGTTGGATCAACCCCCCGAGTGATCCTCCCAACCGACGCGACGCCTCGCCTTGGCGGCGGCCTTGGCCAGCGCGGCGCGGCCCGCGGAGCCCATGGAGCCCGACACGTCCACCACCAGCACCTCAGGTCGATCGGCTCGGTCTCGGTGCGGTGGGCTCGGTGCGCCGGCTGGTGCGGTGGGTGGCCGCGGCGGCGACTTTTGGCGGTTTGGCCTAAAGGACCTGGGAAAAAAGGTGGGCTGCTGCTCTGGCTTTGGTGGTGCGGACCTCAAGAAAGGGGGTTGGATCCCCGAAAGTTTGGTGGAGGAAAATTTGGGTGGTGCGAGTTTGAAGTAGGGGTCCTGTGCCATAGGGAAGTATGTCCACCAACTGTTTTCAAAGGGGTCTGTTAAACATGAAAAACATATAAGAATAAAGGAGAAACCCTTGGGCAAGAGGGGAAACAAAATAGGTTCAATAGGAACACTGAGATTTTGGGCAAAAAGGGACTTCAACCCCTGTTCTTATGGTGGATGGATGTAGCAGCCAGTGGGTTACTGGCAAAAGGAGGGGACTAGTTATTGCTTCTCAGAGAAACAACGGTATGTGCTCTTCTCTCTTGGATTGAAAAGGGAAACTCGACAAACAGGTTGATTCAAACCGAAGACCGAACAAATAGCAAACGTGTTTGGCGAACAGCTGCAGCCAACAGCTTCCTGTGTCCCCATCTGTATCTTTGGTGCCACACAATCAAAACAGCTGCTGGTTGATTTTCAACGGCAAGCCCTCCGAACACCAGTGTTGGTTGATGTGAAAAGAAAACCCGACCAGAAAAGCAAAAACAAGGTGGAAACACGACCAACAAAGAGCTCACGAAAACGGATGGCAGGGTTTATCTTTTGACCCGGACCCCTTGAAGTGTTACACTTGTCCATTTCCACCCAAAAGGGGGGGAAGCAAAAGATAAACTCCAACAACAATGATGATTTAAAGGGGTTGTTCTGTTCCGCCGACAAGTTGGAACAGGTTGCAGGGAAAAGGCGGGGGTGGACAAGCCAAGCAGCAAAAAGGGTTGCCCAACAGGAAGAACAACAACTGGCTGTCAAGAGGTTGCTTCCCCGCAAACTATTATGAACCCCCATGTGGGGTTGCACACAAGGAGATTCCTCTACAACATGATAGTCACCATGTCTTGAATTTGGGGTTTAGAGGCTTAGAGGTGCCCAAAAAGGGTAACTTGGCTTGTGAGGTACCCAAATCATCTAAAGCTTCCGGGCAAAACCACATAGTAATGAACCATCCATGAAGGGCCGCAAAAGGAGAATCCTCCAGAAAAAAATGGGGGCTCGTTGAACCTCAGCTTCTGCCAGGGCACCAAGTCCTTGGGCCCGGTGGAGCCTGAGGAATACCTCAATCGACGCGATCAAATGCCAGAAGGATCTGGACCAAAGGGCACAGTGGATCCCATGAACCTCTCCTTTGGTACCTATTTGCTCAAATTAAACGGAAATGGAGGCTCCATTTATACCCGAACTTTGTCTTCGGATGTATGACCTGGTCTGATTTTCACCTTCCTTCCCTTGGTGTGCCTTTTCAGGTAGCGTTCTGCTCGCGTTCGGCTCGGGATTTCTCATTGGAAGAGGCGACAACGAGGCCAAGGGACTGAGTCGCAGCTGGAGGCATAAGGGACAACAAGCGCCGCCCTGTGGTTGCCTAGGTCCTCCAAAAGGGCACTACTGGGGGACCTAGTTGCTGTTCAAGAGTCGTGCTTAAGGCACATCCTGTTTCTTGCAAACAAAAAAACTCAATCCGATCTTGATCAAGGCCCGGTTTCTGTGGGGTACCAATCGATGCAAGGAACCCATGTAACGCCCATGAAAAGCTACGCTCCAAGTGATCACCAGCTAAGGCCGCATCCCATTTAACGAGAATTATCCTCAAAACACACACACACACACACTTGAACTCCAAAAGGAGAGTGCTAATCTTTCGAGTACAACTGATGAGTCTCGAGTACAACTGATGAGTCTCGAGTACAACTGATGAGTCTCGGCTGAGGTCTGCTTGCAAGTCACTTGGCTTCACTTTAGAAACGAAACCGTTACAGGAAAGAACAAGAAGCACAAACAGCGCCGCAACCAAGGGGGCCAAAAGGACATTCAGAATCACGGAAAGCAGGTACAGGTGTCCACGTCTGGACACCCTTCCCACCTTTGGCAATAGCTTCATTGCGTGCAGTATGCCAAAGGTGCTGCACGCCCCTGCTGCGAAACTGAAAGGGTGGTGACAGGGCATTCTGTCACTCCGCACACACACGCCCCTCTACGAGGGGCGAGGTTTCTCTTTTCTCCTGCAGGAAGATCACATGCTCAAACTCAAATCACTATCGTTGGCCAAAATATCCACCACGGCGAGGGGAGCGAGACACTACCCTAAACCGCTCAGAAGACGGGAACGAAAGTTCACAACGTTGAGCATTACGAGTGTCGCCATAGAGGACTGAAGCGATCTGCGAAGCAGCCGGGCGATCACCATGAGAAAACGGAGTGGCATAGGTGAAGGTCTCCTCAACTTGAACGGCATCGGAGTTCCGACCTTGGATGATGCCGAAGAGGAGGTCATTCCAGCATACATGAGGTCCGGCGCACCCGAAGCGAAAACTGGTCTCGCTATGCTGGGATGTGGACGACCCAGGCGTTGGTACCCTCTGGTGACCCAGTCCCTGTAATACCAAGTGTAGAAAGTGGCGTGGGATACCGGTTGCAGAGCCGTGCCTATAGTTGTGCCGCCAGTGCTTTCCCTGGGCCAGTACACTTCGAAGTGGTAGACCTTGCGCCATTCCCGATAGGCGGTCGGGTCATCCGGGGCCGGTCCCAGGGTGTCAGGGGCTACTGGATGCCACTGACCCGGCACATAGATTCGAATCCATTCCACACTCGTTCCTGCTGGTCCATTGACGATGTCATAGTCAAAATAGCGAGGTAGGATCCATCCTGCTGCACCCTGCACCGTACTATTGAACATTTCAACCCGACAAGCTGCTCAAAGTTATCACAGAGAGCGGCGGACACATGGAGACAACATGCACAGCACCAAGCAAGACAACCCAATGAGAACTCACATTCAAAGCACGCACAACCTCATCTTTATCCAACATGCAACTCATGAGTCAATCCGAATTATTCCAAGGATCATGGAATGGTGGCGGTGACGGTTCCCGCCACGCTCCATCAGGTACCGACGAGCCCACCGAGGACTCGATGGAAGTGGTATGATCTGCGCCACTCCCGAAATGTGGAAGCGTAAAGTGGGTCCGGAACTGGCGCTTCCTCCGGAACGGGCCTCCAAATGCCCGGAGAGTAAATTCGAATCCATTCCACTCCTCTGTCGATCTGGTACTCGAAATACTGGGGGTTCATAGCAGCAATACGGGCTTGCACGACTGCTAAACAAATCGAAAATCTTGCTGCAAGGACACACATGCATTGCTAACCGCACACATCCACTGAGGAGCAAGGCAACTTTTCAAACACAAGGTGAAACGGGTCAGCGAGGTCTGAACTGTCTGAAACCTGGCTTTCACTGTCTTTGATGTCGCGCACACCTGCAATGATAGTGACCTGGTCGTCTACGTGCACAAGGGGAAAGACATTTCCGTCCATGGCGCAGGATGGCGTGACAGTAATGTTTGCATGTTGCCGATGGGGATCGCGATGAACGGCCAGCACGTTTGGAATAAAACACTGTAAAGGGCCGTCGAGATCGCCTCGGCGCTGAAGCTGATGCTGTCCGAGATCGTTTGGACGAGCGCCCTGGACTGCGTGGTACTTCATCACGGGAAGGGTCTGTGTTGTAGATCGAGCGGCGTGTGCGCTGCGAATTCAAAGAGGTAGGGCAGGATTGTCCGCGAGGGGCTGAGATCGAGGTGCTGCGTATCGAGGGCATAAACTGGGGGTGTAGAATCACCGGTGGTGGTGGTGGTGGTGGAGGAGGTGGGAGAAGCAGTGGCAGACTTGGCGGGGGCGGAGGCGACGTAGTCAGCCGAATGGGTCTGTCGAGTAGAGCCCCGGGTCCATGAAATTGTAACCACGTCGGCTGCGCTCCATGGGTCCAGGTAATGTACGTCTGTACCACTTGTTCTGACATGATTTGAGCAACTCAGGAAAGACATCACTGCATGTCAACGACATTTCGCAACACGACAAGCAAGATTGAGTCACGTGCAAGCAAGCAAGCATCATGTGATCAACAACTCAAACCGGACACACCGCCGCCGCTTATCATTTGGTCCATCAATGGTCACTGTTGCGAGCTCCGTGATGATGCGGGGCCGCAACCCATGTCTGGAGTTTCTTGGTGCTCTCGGGGTCACCACCGTGTCTGTCGGACGACCACGCTCCGTCATCAAGGCAAAGTTCTGTGTGTCCAAAGCTGTCGCGACTTGGGATGCAAGAACATTGAGCACAGCCACCAGGTTGTTCACAAACTCAGCCGACAACTGCATGGCAACCAATCAAACCACAAGGGCAACTCACGCAAAGCTGCAAAGCGATAATGCTGCGGCATGACAGAGACAAGGTGCATGCAAGCATGAACGAAGCAAACGCTGAGGTACTTTTGCTGCGGTAGTGACCGCCGAGAGACCTGGAAGTAGTCCGAGATGTCTTTGGCCGCTACCGGACGGATTCACGGGCGTGTAGGGGTCGGAGACCCCAATCGTCTCCGATGGTGTGTTGCCACGCGATGCACGTACTGGTTGCGAGGAACCGCGAAGGCCAACAACTTGATCATAGCGATGAAGAAGCACTTGAAGCGCCTGATGGAAACGTTCCGTAGGAATGGACGTGAAGAAGCCTGACAAGTCTTGCGACACCAGGTGGATGTACTCATCAGGATCTGCTTTTGACAGTGCTTCCCACAGCTGCTGGATAAGTTCTTGTACTGAGAGTTGACCTGCAATGTCGGGGAAGGCTGCCTTGGTGAGTTCAAATATAAGTGCACCGAAGACCGTGAGGAAGGGAGCTGCCCATGTGCGAAAGAATGAGATGATGGGTCGAGCTTTCTGCCAGTCCTTGGTCGGCTTTGGGAGGATGCGCGCTGTGGGCAACGGTGCTTGAAGTCGAAGGCCCCATGCATATCGTTGACGTAGGAGAGAAGGTACTGTGTTTACCACTTCAGAGCGGAAGGATGCTGCAGATTCGCGGCAAAGTGAGAAGACATCCCCCGCGCAGAATGTCTTCCGCATCAATATGGCAAACAGGGACGGGCACATCACATGTGCGCGGGAGGGGAAATGATCCGCCGGGATGGAAGGAAAAGAGAGGGGAACAGATCCCGATGAGAAGCAATCCAGCTTTGTAACCATGTGCCCAGTAGAGCTTTCCAATTCTGGACATGTAGCGGCGGCAAAAGTAGCTGTGTTAACGTGGAACGACGCTCCTGTATTCGATCCCAGCTGATAGAGGATCGAGTAGTGGGCTTGAATGTCATCCAGGGTGTCAGGTCGTAGTTGCCGTTGGAGATCCGGATGTAGTCGTCGTCGAAAGCGCTTGTGCAAGCCGAGGGAAGTGGGCGACGACAACGAGTGGCGTCGAAAATCTACAAGATGCTCCCGGAAGCCCACCTTGCGCAAGATTCTGTGTACCCAGGGCGCATTCAAATGCGGGCGTAGCAGGAATTGCCATTTGGATCGCTTCCAGTAGTGAAGCGCCGGTTCAAAGAAGGCATGCCGTCCACGAAGTAGTTGTAGAAATTTGCGACTGCGTGAGTGTTCACGACGTAGAACATCCTGATCAGTCGCCCCAACATAGTATGGTGACCTGGATCATGTATGAAGTCGTAGAGGTCAGGAAATCGCGCCCGCAATGAGCGTAGATGTCGCGTGAGTGCATGATTTCACACGAGAGAGAAGTCTTGGAATCGACGGTGGTGGTAGTCCAGGGAAACAGTAATGCCAGCACGTCGAGAATGTAGTCAACGAGTGCAGAAGGTCGTCCAGCGACTGCCATTGTGCAACATCATCATAGATTCCGCAATGGCGAAGTTCATCCAACATGGTGAGATGCAACCAACGAAATCTACCACAAGGCGGCGACATGAATACAAGCATCACAGACAATCACACAAGAGGCAATGCAAGAACAAGCAAGTACAAAATCAATCATGTGCAACGCAAACACTTGACGGACGAGTTTTCACCTGGACTCATCCGTGACATTGAAGTCATCAATGTTGAGACCCAGCGTGTTGGCAAGGTCCTTTTCCAGGGTGAGCAGGTTGACATCAAACATGCCATCTGCAGGTGTCCAGTCAGGCGAGGGAGTAAGCCAGGCTTTCTGAGGACGAACCGGTAGAGCTGCAGGAGGTCCAGGTGAAGGTGTAGGTTGGGAAGTAGTGACCGGTGGTGGCATCATTGGTGGGATGAACTTGGACGGTGTGGGTTCAGGAGGGATCGGCATCATGTAGTTGATCGCCGGGTATTGCAACGTTTTCGATCTGGTGAAGGGTGCTGTTGGTGTTGTGGGACCAGAAAAATGTCCGGCAGCAATCGGCGTGGCTCAAAGGAGAAGATGATCCCAAAGAGGTTCTTCTGCGAGTTCTTTTTGTCCGCGGAGAAGTGATGAAACGTCCGCGTGGTTCTGCAGATATATGGCCACTTCTCCTCGCAAATGCCGAGCTGGACGATGAGTTGCTCCGTCACCGTTCATAAGACAGACCGGATGGTCTGCAAGCTGGCATGGCTTTGACTGCCGGTGGGTACTTAGGTGTGTGAGCATGACGGCGGACCACGGGAACCGCATCAACAGGACGGTCTGGTAGCCGACGATGATGGCTGCGGGATCGTCTCCGGTGCGGCTCTCGATGGATGTCGATGCTGGCCCTCAAGACGCTGCAGTCCAGCCAAAAGTAAACTGATTTGCGATGTCATAGCGAGCAGCATGTGCCGACAATCACGTAGCATATCCCCATGATCCATCACAATCCCGGAAAGATGAGACAACCAGGGCCCAATCAACCAGTGATGACTAAAAGCGGCGACGGCAAGCATTCAGAAGGCAAGCAACAAATCATGCAAGCAACACCGCACAAGGAAATATCAAAGTCAACCATGTGCCACGGACAATTCAATGCGTTTTTCGGAAGAGGAGCGTCATGAGGTTCATCATGAAAAAACACAAAGCGCACAACACATCAGGTCAGCAGCAACGCTATTGGAATCAAATTCATGACCGGCGTGAGGAGCAGCGATTCTCCGATAGCCCTCCGTGGCCCAGTCTCGCTTGAGGCTCCTGTAGACAGACTCCCATGATTTCTTCAACAGGTCCGGCTCCGGGAATACCAAGGCGGCAATCGAAGGTAAGGTGTAGTAGAGGACGTCATTCACTTCGATGGCGATCTCCTCGATCCGACACCCAGTGACCGGGGGGAACGCGATCTGGGCTGCTCAGTGAGTGCTGGTACATCACGTGACGAGCCGTGGGATTGCACACTCTGCTGGTGTGCTATGCCATGGGTCCGAATGAACATTTGGATCTCATTGCCGTTGATGAAGTTGGGGAGGTGATCGAGCGTCACGCGGCTCGTAGTTTGTATCGAGCCATCCGAACGCAGAGTGCTAGTGATCATATATTCCGTCATAGTTCTGAGCCAACTGGGGCACAAGGACAAAGCTCATGTTAAAGCACGCCGTTCATGCAAACCAAGCGCAATGCAACGAACACAGTCCCAAGCATGCACAAGAAGGGACAAAGGACAAGCACACATGCAAATTTTGTCCCAAGTCGACGGCGAACATCCCGCAGAAGGTGATTTGGGAGGGATGATCGGGTAGCTGTGGAGTGATAGTCCTGGAAGAAGAATCACATCGGTAACCCAGTACTTTGTCATCATGTTGAACCTCAAGCATCACGGGTGGGCGATAAAATTCCAGGGAAAGAAAGTTCATGAGCACGGGTGAGTGTGGGGCTGAGTCTCGAAGGAGAATGAAACGATTGTCGACGTAGCGCTCATGCCAAATCACACCAATGTCGGGCATGCAAAACCGCAGTGAAATCATGGTTCGGTGCCAGAAAAAATCTTCAACCGTAGCTACCAAATTGCACAACGGTGGCGCGGCTGGTGATCCCATAGCGACTCCTCGTTCTTGAGCAAACGGAAACTCCGAAATGGACATGATCCGCTGTTCATCTGCTATGATACTGCGGCGGTGTACGCTGCGCTGCTCATGCAAGGCTAGTCTTCAGTGAGCTCGAAGACGGGCCTCATCTTGGAATTGTTGTGTGGGGTTGTGAGTCGATTGAAAATTGGTAGGCACCATCGGAAAGTTGTTAGCAGCATTGTAGCCGGAGTTGTGTTGCCATGAAATCAAGTTGTTCCAATCCATGTTCTCCGAGACCTGGTTGTCATTGTGCTCACGTCGGCGTGCTTTGTGAGCTTGAGGGGACGGACTCCGATCACGTCTGCGTCGAGTCCTGGATCTATCACGATCATCACGTCGAGACATGGTGACGCAACCAGATCGGAATTTGCACACTTCCACCTTGAGAGAATCAGACCCGACAATATTCAAATCCATGCAAATGCAAGTTAGCGGCCCTCAACTGCAATGGTCGAGCGAAATGTACAAGGCAAAGCAAATACAAGTCAGCAATCGACAACCGCAATGATACGAGCAACAAGTTCAACCAATGGTCAAGGTAGGCAATGAAAATCGGCAGCTATCAACTGTGGTGAGACGTCACTATGAACTGACGGCTTTCTTCCCTTTAGTGAAACCTCGTTCCTGATTAAATGTGAAATTCCGCTGTTCTATGATACGCACGTTGAGGTCAAATTTTCCGACAGAGCCGGCCCGGGGTCACACAATGGGTACACCCGAGGATTCCCCACGAATGGGGTGTACACACTTGAACTCCAAAAGGAGAGTGCTAATCTTTCGAGTACAACTGATGAGTCTCGAGTACAACTGATGAGTCTCGAGTACAACTGATGAGTCTCGGCTGAGGTCTGCTTGCAAGTCACTTGGCTTCACTTTAGAAACGAAACCGTTACAGGAAAGAACAAGAAGCACAAACAGCGCCGCAACCAAGGGGGCCAAAAGGACATTCAGAATCACGGAAAGCAGGTACAGGTGTCCACGTCTGGACACCCTTCCCACCTTTGGCAATAGCTTCATTGCGTGCAGTATGCCAAAGGTGCTGCACGCCCCTGCTGCGAAACTGAAAGGGTGGTGACAGGGCATTCTGTCACTCCGCACACACACACACACACACACACACACACACACACACACACCCATGCTGCAAATACTCAACCTCCACCTGCTCCGTCTGCTCAGTCTGCCTTTCTGCACGCTGGGCACATGCAAAGAACTTGAAGCTTGCAGAGGGCGCTTGCTAGTGCAGAAATATGGGTACCCCTTTTCGGGGTGGGTTTAAAGGAAAGCCAAAAAGAAACCAACGATTTTAGGAGGAAAGTGTCTCCCCAAACTTTTCCAAACCTTTCAGTGCGTTCGAACCCCAAACCGAGCTGCCAGGGCCGGAATCGCGGGTCCACACCCTCGGCTTCGGGGCACCTGGAGACACAAACGATCCCGGCTGGTTGAACATCGCTTGAATCACGGTGGGCTGTTTCCTCGTTTTTCAGCTTCCCCCTCTAAGAAACCAACCAAAAGGGGGGGCACCCTGAACACCAAAGCCAGATTCCCCTGTGTTGGTGGTTTGGAGCCCGGTTTGGAGGTGTGGAGGTCGGGCAGCGTCCCATTTGCCAACAAGAACCAGGGGCTCAAATCCCCAAACCACCAATCCACAACCACCGACTCTGGGCTGCCTGAGTTCTGGTTGTCAAAGTGAACTCAGGTAAGACTTTACTGGCTGGTGGTCTGAGGAATTGAACCCCTAGAGTCACATATGCTCAACCATCGAGCTCAAACCCGCCAGCCCAAACGAACAATTAAAGCTTCGAGATTGTTGGCTGAAACAAACTGCAACATGGAAGCACGAGGAAAATGGATGGGGGCATTTGCTTGGCTGCAAGAAGGAAACCCCGACAAACTGGGCATTGTTTGTTGGTTTGGAAAAGGAACCCTACACAAAAACTGAGGAGACACACACAGCACACACACATATATTTATGACGTTATGCTGGTCAAAAGCGGGATGTCACCAACACCAAAGCTAAGGGAGGCATCTGTTTGTTGGCTGAAAAAGACACCCCCCCCCCCCTCCCCCCCCCCCCAAAAAAAAAAAAAAAAATGCCCCAAAAAAGCCAGTTGCGCACACACACACACACACACAACACTGACACGCACACAAAGAGAAACAACACATGGGTCATGGATTCGATGGCGAAAAAATGAAAACATGTGCGCCATGGCGCCATTGGACCGCTGGCCAGCCGAGGTAACTCCCAGACTTCTGATCCGCAAAGTACTGGTAGCCCACGCGCTCCGTCGGCGAAGCCTCCTGCGTGGCACAGGGGCCTATTTTGATGTTGCGGCTCCTTTCTGGATCGAGAGTCATGCTGCAAAATACGGACACCACTACAAGGGAAACCAAGTCATCCATGGCAAGATTAAAGATGAACAAGCCAGGTGTTGCAGGTGATCTGGTTGGTTGGCGGTTGGCCGCTTGGCTGGCTGGTTGGTTGGCCGGTCGCTTGGTCGGTCAGTCGGCTACTTAGTTGGCCGGACAATAAATTGGTTGGTTGGTTGGCTGGCTGGCTTGGGTTGGGTTGGGTTGGGTTGGGTTGGTTGGTTGCTAAATTTGTTGCCTGGTACAAGATTGGCAATAGATTGTCCGTTGAAACGTTTGCATAAGTCAGCAATGGATTCAGCTTACTCACATAACCTGTCACGTTTTAAGTGCGCACTCGTTCCATTTTTTACTCCTCACCGTTTTTACCTGGAATTCGGCTCATCTGCTCCCCTAAAAGCGACCCCATTGAGCAGCGCAGGCTTGTGCAACCCCTGGACGTCAACCTTAGGGCCCCGGAATCCCTTGCTTCACAGAGCGACCCCATCTGCGTCGCCCCTGCGGATCCTGCGATCCCAAAGCTTGAGGCAAATGACGCCTTGATTCTGATAGAAACCGAACCTTGAAACCAGGGAGCCGACATGTCAAACTGAAATTCCCAGATCTCGATTTGAAAGGGGAGCTTGAAACCCCAACAAACAAACAAACAATCAATCAATCAATCAATCAATCAAACAAACAAACAAACAAACAAACAAACAAACCATTTGACACCCCTTAAAATAACCCCCCTATAATGATAATAATTATGTATATATATATAGAAAAACGGGCTGCCGCGGCCCTCCCTTTAAAGGGAACGGTACGGGCCTTGGCCGCCACGTTGGAGTAGGTGGGTGCCACCGACTGCGCCAGGCACGAGAACTCCTGACCTCGGAGACTCGGAGACTTGGAGTTCCGGAGACGACTCCGACTGCTGGAAAGGGTGTCGGAAGGAGCCACCGCGGGGGCCTCCAAAATCCCAGGTGGTTTGCCAAACACGAGAAAAAAAAGAAGAACAAACAAGAAAAAAAACACCTGCCGGGATTTTGAGGTTGACTTTTTTTTGAAGGAAACAAAAACGGAGAAAAAAAAAGGCTGGCCTGTTTGTTGGGTTTAGGCTTAGGGTTTGACTGCTTACCTTTTGTTGGGGTTGCCTTTTGTCTCCAAGATTGAGAAAACAAGTCCAGTTTTGGGTTGTGGGAAAGCGAAGGGAAGCCGAAGCTCACCTACAAGGCTTTTATATCCCCCGTTCCCAACATCCCACACTCGAGTGGCTCCAAAAGGTCCGATCTCTGGACGACTTAGGACTGGAGGAAACTCCATCTGGACCCTGTTCTGTGTTCCATGATGGCTTTTGCAGGGGAGTGACCACTTTGAATGACCAAAAAGGAGCTTCCAAGCTCCAAGCAAAAAACTCCGTCCCAAAGCAAAACCTAAACATCCGCATCAAAGGAATCCAGAAATCTTATCAGGGAACAAGGACACCCATTGTGGCCCAACCGAATTTTGGAGACGGGGGCGATTTGGGCTACGGGGCTACCCAGCCAGCTCCCTGCCCCTCCGGCGGCAGGACACAGCCGGAGTTTGCATGTTTCTGTTTCTGGGGGAAGCAAAGTCGGTTAGTCATTGGTCGTTTCCTTTGCACCTATTCGAATGGCTTGACCAGGCCCCTTTTTCCATGAACGGATCGTGGCTGAGTCGCTTCGGGCATTGGCCCCGACACGCCCGAAGTCGGTCTTCTCCATCCACAGGTCGTTCTGAAAGCACTCCGCGCAGTTGCCTCGATCGATTTGTGTCCACCACAAAAATGTTGGCCATTCAAGAACAGCCTTGTATCCCTTCAGACCACCCTCGCAAAACACTCGTGGTTCCCCAAACCCTGCCATCCCTGTTTGGAGATGATCACCGAACACAAGGGGAAGGTGGCTAGCTTGCACTTTTGATCAAAAGGACCCTGAGAAAGAGCGGGTGCTTGGAGTGTTTGTGATCCGACCAAGCAAAAACAAGTCAATGGACGAAGGAAACCAACAGGGGCTAAATCTATCCCCCATGGGAAACGGAAAGGACACTCAATTCGTCCTGGTTGATTGCTTGAAGGAAACCCAACCAGACATAGGGGACTTTCCCCCACCAGGGAACACTTTGGAACCAATACAAAACCAATACAATATCAATGCTAAATCAATACTAAACCGCTACTATATACTCAAAACCATTTCGAAACCAGTGCAAATCCCAAAATGACATGTCTGCTGTTACAACTCATGAATGTTGTGCCTTCTTTAATAATTTGCGTTGCTTTGGTAGAAAGGCTGTTTTCCTAATGCAGAACCCTGCGACCGCTTCGTGGTTCGCTTCAATAGAAAGTTGTTTTCACCCCGACCCCGCTCGAATATACACATATGTATATATGTACATATATACATATATATATATACATATAATAATTATGCGCAAGCAATACTAACATAGAGTTGGCTGACCCAACCCAGACCGAAACCGAAACCCCTCCGCCCCAACCCAGACACCCCCTTGTCCGTTTTGGGAGGAGGGGTACTTCTTACCAGGGGAATGTAGGTTGCAACTGGGATTAAACATCTGCAACATTCCATGAATCAGCCGCAAACCGGCGTGCCCTTGGGAATCCATCTTGCTGGCCTGGTTCCCCTGGTTCCGAGCAACAAAGTGTGCCTAAGCTGGAATAAGGACATGTCCTTTCTTGAGAAGGGGGACGCTACCTGCTTCTGACACATTCTCAAACATCTCTACAGAAAGCGCCCCCCCAATTCCTGACTCTCTCGCCCAATGCCGAATTTCGTGTGAATTAGTTATCTTGACCATGATCATCAATTTGCAGTTGTTCTTTTGTATTTGGAGGCGTTGGCACGCACGCATCCGCCCACCCTCTCATGCACGGACACACACACACAAAAACAAACGCACACATGCACAAACACGTAAACACGCAAACACACAAAAACGAAACTCACGCACAAACAGACACAGAGACACAGAGCCACAAAGCCACAGAGCCACAGAGCCAATCATAAGCTTGTTCCACCCCAGGACCTCACCATCAAAATCAAGAAAGATGAGGAGCACTGTCCATAGACGGTGCACCATTCGCTGGAGTTGAGCTGCTCGTAGATGTCTTGCACCCTGCGCTGGAGCTTCTTCGATCAGACAAACTTGGCTATACCCCAGTGACAGATATCAACATCCATGAGATTTTGAAAGCCTGGGGCCTGAGTGCTATCCCACTCTCCGTGTTGCAAAACCGGCATCGCTCTCCGGCAAGCTCGAAGGACGCTAGCGAAAACACCGTGTGAACACGAACTTAAGACACGAGGGCATATCAAAGCAAAAGTTCAATCTTCCAAGCCATCTCCTGGCCTGTTCGAGCCTACGCACTATGCCTTGCCCCCGCAAAATGCCAATGTAGTTGAAGCATTCTATGCTGTTTACCCCGACTAACAAGTCCAACCAACACAACATAAACACATGAACCACTTTCAGTATGTGCCCAAGTGGTGTGTAACCTGCATTTCACATTGCATCTTGCACTCCCACTTCTCTTTCAGCATCACCTTTCAGGCCAAATCAAATGCTTGAGTTTTCCCCTCGCTTTGAATGGGACAATCATGGAATGCTGCGCATTTCAACTGGTGCTCACAGGTCCGGGTCCTGGCAAATTGCTGCATGTTATTCCCGCCCTTCGGAGTGAGATCATGTTTTCTTGCCCATCTTGAGCAAAATGGCAACCCACAAACACGTACCACTAACATCCGGCCGGCCTCCGGATCCATCTTACCCAAACCAAGTGCCACGCAGCCTCCAATGCAGGGCAGTCCAACATGTTTTGTGAAAATCAAATACCAAATCAATACCACCACCATCCTTGCTGGCCTCCAAAAACAAACGAACAAACCAAGCAAGCAAGCAAGCAAGCAAGCAAGCAACCAAGCAACCAAGCACGCGAACAAGCAAGCAAGCAAGCAAGCAAGCGAGCGAGCGAGCGAGAGAGCAAGACGAGCAAGCAAGCGAGCAAGCAAGCACGCAAACAAGCAAACAAACAAACCAAAACAAAACAAAACAGAACAAACAAATCGACCAATGGCAGACTAAACCACGCAAAACCAGCCCTCTCACTTCCCCCCGTCCCTTGTTCAGCGCTCCGCGACACAAGCCGACACCCCGAAACGCCTTGAGCGGGTGCTCCAAAGGTAGCTCTGTACCACATCCAGAAGCTGCGTCACGCTGGCACTGGTGCCGCCAGTGGTCGCCGCCCCCGACCAGGCCTTGAACCTCCGCAACCCAGACAGGTAACGCCACCTACGTAGTTGTTGGTGTTGCTTTGGTCCATGGGCGATCCATCAAAACATTCAAATTTCCGCCCCGGCAAACCGCTACAAAAGCCCACAAGGAAAGAGATGGGTTCCTGAACTGAACTATCCTCCAAGCGATTTCCTACAAGCGCGTGCCCAAGCGACGACACATCAGCGTGCGTGAAGTCACACCATGGTTTCATGGCAATCGCACTGGCCACGCGCTTTCCAGGGCTTTGCCGCAAAACAGGCGGTTTGCGTCGCGGGTTTTCAGCTAACACCCAATCAATTTGTGACTTTCTGTGTGCTTCCACACGCGCCACGCCAATGTTCTTTTCGTCAAGCGTTGTTTTGAGTTCGAACGCCAGTTGCAGGAGTTCAAATAAAAATGACCACGTCGCCTCCACAGTGTACGCGGCACTTCTCGCGCAACTAGCTGTTTGCCCCGCGTCTGAAGTTTTCAGCCAACAAGCATGCAGTTCATGTCTTACTGTGTGGAAACCTACCATCCACACCAGTTTTCTGAGATCAAGTGCTGAGGTCGAAAGCGAATACAAATACACACATAGGTCGCGCAAGTGCAACAAGACCAACAAACCTTTCCCCCACGGCACCCCTTGAAAAACAATCACGGAATCTGATCACCTCCAGGCATTTGCTTTCAGTGAAACAGAAACTGCACTTGCGCAGATTCAATCGAATCTGCCTAGTGTGCCCTTGGGATCAGTGACTGCAGCCAAGACAAGAACAGATTCTGCTCATGTTGTCTCTTGGCAAAAAACGACTTTTCCCACTAGCATACCGAAGAACATGCTCCCAGGAACAGGTTTCTACACCGGGTTGTATGGATCAATCCCAATCGAACGCAAGTCACAACAGTTCTGCTCAATCCCAAGGCTCCCACGCACACAGTTTGGCCGCACGGCGGCCACGCGCAAATGATGCGACTTTAGACTGATTGACCCTACTTTAACAAAAGGGGAGTCCGAGGCAGCTCTCTCAAAGCCGAAGCTGGTTTCCCAAAGCCCGCATGAGAACAGCAAACGACCCCCTGTCGCCCTCGGAGGTTGCAAGGTTCCGCCCCGTTCTGAGA